GAAGGAGAAGGAGAAGGAGAAGGAGAAGGAGAAGGAGAAGGAGAAGGAGGAGAAGGAGATGTTAGGGGATTGAGGTGGAGGTGGAGGTGATGGAGAAGAAGGAGAAGGAAAAGGGTTTTTTTTTCCACAAATGCATATAGAACACACAAAGCTACCTATGGAAGCCACACTCTCTTATGTTCCTATCCTTATAGGCTGCTATGTACTTTAATGCACCTCACAAACCTCTTTGTGCATGCAAACCATAAATATCCAAGCAAAGGCCATCACAACAACAACACATGAATACAAGCATAAACGATGACAAGGCTGATAATAACAGGCTTCTTACCGGTGGATTTAATTTCTCTGACGTAGTTGCTGGGGAACCAACCCGTCTTTCCGTTAAGGGTCCCTTCCCACCAGCCCCCTTCCTCAGTGCGGGTGACGTAAATGATGTCCCCCTTGTTGATGGTCAGCTCGTCTTCGTTGGTCTGCTTGAACTGGAACCGGGCCTTCACCACCAGTTGGTGACTGCCGTTTTCTGCCATCTCCTAAACACGAGGTAAGATCAGGAGAACGGTTGGTTCCAAAAGACAAACGCTGAAGAAGGATGCTGTGAAGAGGCGAGATGTGGTCCGAAAGGAGATCCTGCTAGGGCTTGGGTGGAATCACCCAGCCAGGTGATTCCACCCGGCTAAGGAAGAAGCAGAATCAAGACGGGGAGGGCGGAAACAAGGAGGCTCACAGCTCCCCAAAAACGTAGGGGTTGACTAGGAAATTCCTGCCTCACCACGCAGTTGCACGACTCTTCTGCTGCAGGAGGAGATTTAACACCAGGCCTTGGACCCCTTCCTGCTATTTCTCTTGCTGACTCAACACATTTTTAGGACGGCAGATTACTCTCGACTCGGCCTGCCGGGGCAGGGGCCAACCTCTACAAAGCAATGGGCCAGGAGGGGGTGGAAATGGAGAATAGACAAGGCCAGCACAACCCTAAGCCATCTTGAATTGAAAAGAAAACAGCCTCGCATTAATTAAATTCAGTTCATAAGCCGTTCCCCGTATGTCTCCACCTTCTGCTGAGAGATGGCAGAAGAGGATAGAATAGACCCCGGAGGGCCATGCACCCAAGGGTGGTGAAGGGAGGGTGCCGCCTGGGCGTTTCTGCCCTCAGTGGGATCGTACCGAAACATACCACAACTCTTGACTGCCTCTGCAGCCCTCTTGATGGCCGAGTTGATGCTGCTTGGCTCAGGGGGTGGCAGTCACCGGCGGTTAGAGAACATGGCTTCCTGGTCGAGCCTGGATCTGTTAAAAAGGAGAAGAGGTGAAAAAGGGAAGGAAATAACCCTTGCTGCGCTGAGGATAGAAAAAGAGCCATATTCGTTCAGATGAAAGCCCACATCCTACTTCCTCTGCGACCCAACTGAAACCTCCTAAACGATCAGCTCTGGGAGGCCAGGCTACAGTCCATCCAAACTATAAAGGGAACCAAAAAGAAGCAAGATTTTAAAACTTAAAAGAGCCATAAGCAGTGTACAGTAAGCGAAAGCCAGAAATATTTCATAGGTGACGATACGGGTCACCCAAGCTGTAGATCAACGTCCTGAACGCAGGAGTGGGAAGCCCAGTCTTCGCCTGGTATCCAAAACTAGGCAACGTTGATGCTAGCCCGGCCTTCAGGGAAGATCATTCCAAAACTGGGGTGTTATCCTGAGGTATATTTCCCCTAAATATGGAGGTTCCCCAGAGCTCTGGAGGGTACAGCCATTTCAGCAGCATGATCCTTCGTAAATGGCTCAGACCCAGACCTCTTTGGAGGTCTGTAAGAAGAGGCTGGAGAGCCATCTCTCGTGGATGGCTTATGTGGTTTTTCTGCACCCTGCAGAGGGTTGGACTAGATGATCCTTGGGACCCCTTCCAACTCCTCAACTCTCTAATTCTTTCATTCCCCAGCGAAACTATCCCTTATAAGCTTACTCGAACGTAAACAAAGGCATGAAAAAGGCTGCTTTGTGGCAGACACCCAATTCCACGCTTGTTCCTGTCGGGAGTTTTAGCAAAGTTCTGCCAGGATACAGAACCATCGTGCCCCTGTTCCAAGAAAATCAGAGGAGAAGGGGTGTATCTCTTCCGCCGGGGGCTGACCAGATTTTCCTGGTTTGGCTTGTTCAGCAGGACTTGGCCAAAGAGTGAGCGTAAGGAAAATCCGCACGGCAGAAAACAGGTCCCAAAAAAAGATCCACGGTGCTGGCATTAGATGCGAGTTGCCAAGCCGATTTCCCTTTGTGGGGAAAGCAGGGAGGAGAAGGCCAGAGGTGGAGTGATCCTGGCTCCGCGTCCTACTGAACTGAGAGCATGCCGATGCTGACGCTTCTCCCCGAGGCTCTGTTGCAACCCAGCAAAATGTTCCGCAGGGCAACGTTCCGGAATTTAAATCTGCCTTGGAGCTGCTTCCGTCAGATCCAAGCTCAGCTGATGGTTTGGTGAATTCCTGCCCAGGACGGGGCTGGACTAGATGCCCGTCCAACTCACACGTTCTGTGACACCAGCTGGTGGACGGAGAGGACAGCGCGTGGATTCCACATCGCAGAAACCACCCACGCTTTCCTCCTTCCAAAATGGCTCGCCATATGACGCTGAAAGTGTTCTACTTAGCAACACACGTTCTGTTCCGAACGCTGGGCAGGGTACTATTTTGAGCCCTGGTGCTTCATATCTCCCCCCTCCCATTGGGGAAGAAGCGCCCAGTGTGAGGTTGGCCCCCAGGAATCAAGCCCCATTTAATAAGGGACTGAGCTGAGGGTCCCGGAGCAGGAATTATTCTGCAGAATTCGCTTCTGAAAATCCAAAGCCCAGGCGGGGTCTTTCGGGGGGGAGGCAAGCAACGTGGCCGAAGAACTCGCAGTGCCTTCCTCTTCTGCTGCCAAAGGTTCTGGGCCCAAAACCTTCAGCAGAGTCTCCTCAAGCAGGGAGGAGGAAAAATCTAACAGCGTGAAGTCACGATGACGTCCCTCGGCTAGTTAGCAAATATTCAGAGCTGGTGGGTGGGCCCATGCTGGAAACTGGGGAGTGGGTCACGAGCATGCTCACAAAAGGGTGGTTACTGGGGGGCTTGCCTATTCCTAAAACAGGCCCGGCCAGTCACACACAGACACACAGACACAAAACATTTGCAGAAGATGCGCTGGGGAATAGATTCTCTGCTACCTCCACAAAACACCCAGGATGTTCCTTGGAACCCCAACTTAAGTCCTATCCTTTTTTTTTTTTTGGTGACAGCCATAGAAAAACATTGGATTAAAAATCATCTGGCATTTGTATTTTTTCACCATGCTTACGGATGGGAAGGGGGGTCCACAGCGTTCAGTAAATATAAAGAGTAGAAGCTGATGCTTTGCTTGTACCCTATCTACCGTACCTATCTATCTGTCTGTCTACCTACCTACCCTTCTGTCTACCCACTTATCTACCTACCATATATTTATCTGTCTGTCTACCTACCTACTGTATCAGATAGATAGATAGATAGATAGATAGATAGATAGATAGATAGATAGATAGATAGATAGATAG